ATGCAGTTAAACATTTTTGCTTTTCCAATGATTTGCAGGTAAATATGTGTGTGAGGCTGATGGATTCTGGACGAGCTCCAAAGGAGAAAGATCACTGCCAGTCTGTGAGCCTGGTAATGGACACATTTATACAAGAGATTGGTAATTGATGGAAAGTAGAACTGGGTAGGAGGCAGTAAGGAGAGCTTTAGCTGTGGTAGGCAGAAATGTAACTTCAGCACTTGGCTCTTAGGCTAAGTTATTATTTCCAAATAATATGTTCTCATTACCCCCTTTCCATATAGAGAGGTTGTTAGGTGCTGACTGCATTAGTCATTTGATTATTTTTGACTTTATAACTAGGCAAGCATAAAAAATTAAATGATTTTTAGGCCAGGTGTGGCTCATGCCTGTAATCCCAGCACTTTGGGAGGCCGAGGCAGGTGGGTCACCTGAGGTTGGGAATTTGAGACCACCCTGACCAGCATGGAGAAATCCCGTCTCTACTAAAAATACAAAATTAGCCGGGCGTAGTGGTACATGCCTGTAATCCCAGCTACTTGAGAGGCTGAAGCAGGAGAATCGCTTGAACCCGGGAGGCAGAGGTTGCAATGAGCTGAGATCGCACCATTATACTCCAGTCTGGGCAACAGTAGTGATATTCCATATCAAAAAAAAAAAAAAAAAAAAAAGGATTTTTAAAATTATCTTGAACAATTTATACATTTATAAATACGAGTTCTTCTGTTGAGTTACTCTATGTTAAAATGCTATTAAAACCCAAAGCTAATAATTTCCTGAAGCAATTGTTTTCAACATCTAGTTTTTAAACATCAATGCAATCTGCCTTTTAATAGCACTTTTTAAATTTTTTTAAACCAGAATTGGCTCCAAAGATAATAGTTGAGTAGAATGATTTTTTTTTTTTTTTTTTTTTTTTGAGAGGGAGTCTCGCTCTGTCACCAGGTTGGAGTGCAGTGGTGCAATCTCGGCTCACTGCAACCTCCCCCTCTGTAGAATTATTAAAAAAAACAAATCGAGGCCGGGCGCGGTGGCTCACGCCTGTAATCCCAGCACTTTGGGAGGCTGAGGCGGGTGGATCACGAGGTCAGGAGATCGAGACCATCCTGGCCAACATGGTGAAACCCCGTCTCTACTTAAAAAAAAATTAGCCAGGCGTGGTGGCGGGCGCCTGTAGTCCCAGCTACTCAGGAGGCTGAGGCAGGAGAATGGCGGGAACCTGGGAGACGGAGCTTGCAGTGAGCCAAGATCTGGCCACTGCACTCCAGCCTGGGCAACAGAGCGACACAGTGTCTCAGAAAAAAAAAAAAAAAAAGCACTTTGGGAGGCTGAGGCGGGCGGATCACGAGGCCAGGAGACCAAGACCAGTCTGGCTAACACGGTGAAACCCCGTCTCTATTAAAAATGCAAAAAATTAGCTGGGCGTGGCGGCGGGCGCCTGTAGTCCCAGCTACTTGGGAGACTGAGGCAGGAGAATGGCGTGAACCCGGGAAGCGGAGCTTGCAGTGAGCCGAGATTGTGCCATCGCACTCCAGCCTGGGTGACAGAGTGAGACTTGTCTCAAAAAAAAAAAAAAAAAAAATCAGAAAGATAACATTAATTACCAAAATCAGAAAGATAATAATATATTAATTACCCTTGTGCTATTTGGCTCAGTTTTTTTTTTTTTTTTAAGACGGAGTCGCTCTGTCGCCCAGGCTGGAGTGCAGAGGCACGCGATCTTGGCTCACTGCAAGCTCCGCCTCCCGGGTTCACACCATTCTGCCTCAGCCTCCCCAGTAGCTGGGACTACAGGGGCCTGCCGCCACTCCCGGCTAATTTTTTTGTATTTTTGTAAAGATGGGGTTTCACTGTGTTAGCCAGGATGGTCTCAATCTCCTGACCTCGTGATCCACCCGCCTCAGCCTCCCAAAGTGCTGGGATTACAGGCGTGAGCCATTGAGCCTGGCCCAGTCTAGGTTTTAATGCAAGTGCACTACCTCAATAGGGAACATATGCTACATTAATGGGTGTATTTAATTTGCAATAAAGATACAAAACTTAGTTTGGAAGAATCAACTAGACCAAAAATATAATTCTGGAACCTGCAGGGTCCTAGCCACAAATGCAACATTCTAATGTCTAAGTATGTTCAAAGGTAAAAGTAATTTTGCAGAGATACTGACTTTAGTTCCTGCTTTCCTAGGATTACATAAATCCCCATTTTACAAGTAGGAAAACAGAAACAGTGAAAGGTTATGTCCTTCTAATTCCTATGCACATCATCCAGTCCATCTGCTCAGACAATGCTTGCTTGCCCTGTTAATTTTCCTCATTTTTTTTTTTTTTGAGATGGAGTTTTGCTCTTGTAGCCCAGGCTAGAGTGCAGTGATATGACTTGGCTCACTGCAACCTCTGCCTCCCAGGTTCAAGCAATTCTCCTGCCTCAGCCTCCCGAATAGCTGGGATTACAGGTGCCCACCACCACGTCCGGCTAATTTTTGTATATGTAGTAGAGACAGCATCTCACCATGTTGGCCAGGCTGGTCTCAAACTCCTGACCTCAGGTGATCCACCCACCTCAGCCTTCCTAAGTGCTGGGATTACAGGTGTGACACTGCACCCAGCCAATTCCCCCATCTTTTTTTAATTTTTTTGAGACAGTCTTGCTCTGTTGCCCAGCCTAGTGTGCAGTGGCGCGATCTCGACTCACTGCAAGCTCTGCCTCCCGGGTTCCCGCCATTCTCCTGCCTCAGCCTCCTGAATAGCTGGGACTACAGGCATCTGCCACCACACCCGGCTCACTTTCTGTATTTTTAGTAGAGATGGGGTTTCACCATGTTAGCTAGGATGGTCTTGATCTCCTGACCTCATGATTCGCCTGCCTTGGCCTCCCGAAGTGCTGGGATTACAGGCATGAGCCACCATGCCCTGCCTTCCCAATCTTATAGACCAAATTATTTTAGCAAAACAAAATAACTTCTAAAAGTCAGTTTTCACTAATCTCGTTTTCTGAGGAGCTAAGAAATACCAAAAGGTTTTTATCAGGTGTTTGAACTATGATGTTTTAAAATAGCCTCACTTGCCTGTATAGGTGGTCACCCACCAACTCATGTAATGTAACTTATGGTTGACATTGAATACATACTTGAAAGTGGTCATAATTTAAGAAAAACATGACTGACATTTTACAAAGGCTCTCTACCTATCTGCTTTTTTCCCTCAGTTTGTGGACTATCAGCCCGTACAACAGGAGGGCGTATATATGGAGGGCAAAAGGCAAAACCTGGTGATTTTCCTTGGCAAGTCCTGATATTAGGTGGAAGCACAGCAGCAGGTGCACTTTTATATGACAACTGGGTCCTCACAGCTGCTCATGCCATATATCAGCAAAAACATGATGCATCCTCCCTGGACATTCGATTGGGCGCCCTGAAGAGACTATCACCTCATTATACACAAGCCTGGGCTGAAGCTGTTTTTATACATGAAGGTTATACTCATGATGCTGGCTTTGACAATGACATAGCACTGATTAAATTGAATAACAAAGTTGTAATCAATAGCAACATCACGCCTATTTGTCTGCCAAGAAAAGAAGCTGAATCCTTTATGAGGACAGATGACATTGGAACTGCATCTGGATGGGGATTAACCCAAAGAGGCTTTCTTGCTAGAAATCTAATGTATGTCGACATACCAATTGTTGACCATCAAAAATGTACTGCTGCATATGAAAAGCCACCCTATCCAGGGGGAAGTGTAACTGCTAACATGCTTTGCGCTGGCTTAGAAAGTGGGGGCAAGGACAGCTGCAGAGGTGACAGCGGAGGGGCACTGGTGTTTCTAGATAATGAAACACAGAGGTGGTTTGTGGGAGGAATAGTGTCCTGGGGTTCCATGAATTGTGGGGAAGCAGGTCAGTACGGAGTCTATACAAAAGTCATTAACTATATTCCCTGGATCAAGAACATAATTAGTAATTTTTAATTCGCATGTCTGCAGTCAAGTCAAGGATTCCTCATTTTTAGAAATGCCTATGAAGACCTTGGCAGCAACGTGACCTGAGAAGCATTAATCATTACTATGAACATGGCAGTTGTTGCTCCACCCAAAAAACAGACTCCAGGTGAGACTGCTGTCATTTCTCCACTTACCAGTTTAATTCCAACCTTACCCACTGACTCAAGGGGACATAAGCTACAAGTGATAGTCACCTTTGGCAACCCAATGTAATGTCACTGCTCAAATTACATTTTGTTACTTTATAAGGCCAGTCTCTTTTCATACTGGCTGTTGGCATTTCTGTAAACTGCCTGTCCATGGTCTTTGACTGTTTTTAAACTTGTTCTTATTGATCTCTGTAAGTGCTTTATATATTATAGCAGTATTGATTCAAGGATAACCTTGAATCTTTTGGGGTAGGTAGGCTGGAAACACACTACTTCAGGCCAGGTACCGACTAAAATTTCCATGTTAAAAACCAATACCACAAATTGGTGGGATACGATTATTCACTTATCAAATTGTCAGACAAAAGGAACGTGATTGGCAATACATTTTAAGCAAGACCAGGCATGTTCAGGGAGAGTGGCAGGCCACAGACTGGCAATACATTTCAAAAGCCCTTAAAAAGCATGCATAATCTTCGACTTAGCAATTTCAATGCTAAGAATTTATTTTAGCAGTAAGGATATTCCCAGCAATTGGAAATAACCTGAATAATGTTCAAATTCAGAAGACTGAATCAAAACGTGGCATTTCTACAAGATGAAAAATGGCATTAGAAATAAGTGGTGACGTTATAGATAAATCTGTAATTTTTTCCCCTTTACAATGAATATGAAATACTTGGGCACAGTGATGCCTAACAAGAGCACAGATCACACAACAGTTGAGTCAAGTACAGAACACTAATACACAGTTAGGAGCTACTTTGCTTGTACTCAACAACAAAATCATTCTTACTATTACACATTATCTCTTGGATTACGGAGTAGTTCCTACTTTTTCCTACTAAGGACAAAACTTAAGTGCTGATTTAACCTTAAAAATCTCATTTCATTTTAGCTGGCTATTCCTTCCTAAAAGGTTTGAATAGCTAACATTCAAGTTTTTCAGTCTAACAGTTAACATTCCATGTAAAAGTTTACGGTGAGTCTTGGCCTCATTTCTCTTGTGCATATAAAGTATAAAGTACAACATCTTGAGACTCAATTTTTATTTTCTTTTTTTAGACTCAATTTTTAAAGGTAACTTTCCAGCATCTGTATGTCACATATAAAAAGAAATCGTGTTTTTCCAGTAAGACTCCAGACACTAAACTGTGGTGTCAAAAAAAATTTTTATTTAGCTGGTTCAAAAAATTTTTTAGAATGAATGCATTTAGATGACCAAATAGATTTTTAAAAACAAATCTTTGCCAAATAGTTTAAGTACTTCTAAACTTCAAAATCTTTTTAGGGTAAAATAAATACCCGTATCTATGCAGTACCATAAACATGTTAATAAAAGGCTACTCAACATTGAAAGCCTTCTAAGACCAGTAACTGAAATTTACACAAGTGTAAAGAAGGGATTAAACCATGCCGTTGACAAGTTAACTTACCCCTGGGCTTCTTGAAGGCTTGTCAGTTTAGTCTTTGGAGGTCCCCGAGTACCATTTTAAGTGTTACCATGTTACTGCTGCTGAGTAATAGTGCAAGTGCTAAAATGCAAAATTCAGATGGTACAGGGTTTGGAAATCATGCAGATTTAGATGCAGATAAAAAAAAAATTAAAACAACTCAAGATCCCTTTACAGAGGAAACCAAATAATGAAACAATGTGGCGATTACAAGTCTAAAGGATGACTTCATTTATAAATGTTTAAAATACGTAACTTGCAAAATGACAAACCTATTTATCATAATCTAATTAGGTAAGGGCATTAACTACTAACACAACAAATGTCGCATTCTTCCAACTAGAAAATGAGCTCAACTCTCACAGAATTAGTTACAAAAAAGTACAACAGAGAATCAATGTTATTGCTTTTACATACTTAACAATGCATTGTGAGAGTCTGAGTTTTGTAAGTGATTTTATTCAACTTTATTCAATGTTACCACATTCCCCCACCTCCTGGAGGACGAAGCCCATTCCACTTAACACTTCCAGACAGACAACCCACCGTAATTCTTAAAGCTATCAGGCCTCTTAATGGATTTCAGGCACAAGATAATTTGTGGTTTCTTCTACTTTATCCCTATTGCAATTAATTCCACTTTTCAAATCCCAAGCTAGGAAGGTACTGATATTCCCTTTTCAATTGATATGCTTTGCTACAAAGCATTAGAAAATAATCAACATTTTGCCCACTCTCCCAAATAATCTTTTTAGAAGGAATGACTTCCCAATGGAGACTTATACAGGCCATGTAAATAGAACATCACCCAAATGCACAGAGGCACTACGAAAAAGCCGGAGGGTACTGCTTACCATTTTAGGTGCGGTCACCCAGACTTATTCAAAACTAGATTTCAAAAGAAAAACAAAAACAAAAACAAAAAACAAAAACAAAACAAAAAAAAAAACTTTTCACTTTGGCCAATGCAAGAACAAATACCAATTAAGTCTGGGTATCAGGTGTCAATGCATGACAGGTGATGAATCCATTTGACTTGAGACAACTTTTCAAATAAGTTTATTTGAAGCAAAATAAACTACTGCCAAGAAACTTTATGAAAGTTCCATCTCAAAAGGGTCAAAAAAGGGGAATTAACTGCTATGAATTCTTTGCATTCAGGGCTGCAAAACAAAGACACATATTATTTAAATCAGTTTTATTTAAGAATTTCCAACAATGACAACTCTTATAAAAAGCATCCAAGCACAGGACACAGAACTGCAGCAAACAGCATTCTTATGGGTAGCTAACAGACATTAGAACTTCCACCCTTCTTTGAGACACCTGAGCTCACTGGTGAACTCTGCTTCAAGTCCTCCTGCAAAGCACACCACAAGCTCAGTCCATGTTCTCAGCCCATCAGCTTCAGTTCACATTGCCACACTTACATATCAGTAACAGAAGAGAACACACACCATACAGCATTCACAGCAGTTGACAAAGGGGTAGGGGGAGTACAAGTATCATTTCACTTAACACATTCAACTAATGTGGGTTATCTAAGAACAAAAACTCACTTAAAGTCTTCCAACAGATGTGGATGTCCTTTGAATGCAAAAAACATTCGTACATTATTTGCTATCATTGCTCTCTGCACACTCTCTCACCAAAGCCACAGGATTGAGAGACACATCTCGCCAAGTTAAAAAATATCCATTATGCACCACCAAGTCTCTGCACGCGCTCTCTCCTTTCCTCGCTCATACTAGCCTTTCATGCCTCGGCACCACCATCAATCCCACACAAGGTTTCAAAAGTTCAAACAGCCTTCTGGTTCCATATCACAGCCTTGCGTTCATAGCGTTGATACGACTCCATGAAATAAAGAGTAGCGGATAAAAATGGGACACCCACCGTCAAAGACGCGGCCTGTGATGCGTGATGACGAATTCTTGAATGAGAAAGCATGTAGACAGAAGTATTCCTATGGCAGAATATTTACAGCACTACTTTCAATGAAGTGCTTCTTCCATAAACATTTGAAATGAGATGAACTGCAGAGATTAAATGAAGGCTTCATATTGTACTTTTGTATATGAGGGGAGACAAGTGTTAAAAAACAAAACAAAAGAACCAAACACTGTGACACCATGATCTCCTAAAAGGAGATTTTCTTAAGGAAAAAAATCCATATGGTGGGGTTCAAATTAAAACAAGGGGTAAAGAATGTAGTTCTAATCAATGGTTTCCATTTTGAACATGCAAAGAATTCACTTGACAAGTCCAGGGATAAAATATTACAGGAGAAACCTTTTGATATCAATTGTAGTGTGTTGGTTTACCAATCAGGCAAACAGCAGTTCACTTTCAACCACTCAATATTTCAACCTTTCATGTAACAAAACTTATAAAATTCCTTTAGCTCTTCCTTTTACTAAAGAAAAATGTCAAAAATACTGCTGAATATACTCCACACTGAACAAACCAATTTTGAAAATTCTTAATACATACGTATTTTACAATATACTTACCATGAGTTTAGAAAAATTTGAATTCCCACCATTCTATACCAACCAACCACAACCCCACTGCCTACATTCCCCAGCCAGAAGACTTAGAATCCATGCTTGAGCCAAAGCCTCCATTAAAACCACTGCCCGACCCTGCATTTGATGCTGATCCCCAACCAATTGCTGCACCAGAATTAGAACCACTATAAGAGTTATTTCCAGAACCGAAGGCCTGGTTTGGCTCCCTCTGCATGTTGCCTTGGCTTTGGTTATTACCCGATGGGCCTGACTGGTTCTGCTGGCTGGCTAACATGCCCATCATACCCCAACTGCTCTGTAGTGCTGCCTGGGCAGCAGCCATCATGGCTGGATTAATGCTGAATGCACCAAAGTTCATCCCACCACCCATATTACTACCTTGATTGTTTCCCAAACCAGCTCCACCCCCTCTGCTATTACCAAATCCACCCTGATTCCCAAAGCCACCTGGATTACCACCAAATCTTCCACTTCTTTCTAACTGTCTATTGCTATTGTGCTTAGGTTCGGCATTGGATATATGAACGCTGATTCCTTTAATGATCAAGTCCTCTCCACAAAGAGACTGCGCAATCTATAAGAAATAAGGGATGTAAACAAAGAAGATTAAACCATTGATTCATACATTTAAAGTAGCAACAAAACTTAGATTACAAGTATTAATTTATCTAAAGCCAGAGGAAAAATAAGCAATGACTGCTCATTTCATTTAAACCCCCAATACAGCTTTTAGTTTTATTAATAGCAGCAGTGATATTTCCGTCGATTTTCAAAAGACATAGGCTGGACATGGTGGCTCATGCCTGTAATCCTAGCGCTTTGGGAGGCCAAGGTGGAAGGACTGTGTAAGGCTAAGAGTTGAAGACTAGCCTGGCAGCCTGGACGACACGGGGAGACCCCACCTCTATTAAAAAAACCCCACAAAATGCCACATTAGCTGGGCATAGTGGCATGTACCTGTCCTAGCTACTTAGGAGGCTGCAGCTGAAGGATCCTCCCCTGGAGGCTGAGCCCAGGAGTTCTAGGATGTAGTGAGCTTTGATTACACCACTGTGTTCCACCAGCCTGGGCAACAGAGTGAGACCCTGTCTCAAAAAAAAAGGGGGGGGGGGGACCAGGAGTGGGAGCAGTGGCTCACACCTGTAATCCCAGCACTTTGGGAGGCTGAGGCAGGTGGATCACCTGAGGTCAGGAGTGCAGGACCAGCCAGACCAAAACAGTGAAACCCCGTCTCTACTAAAGATACAAAAAAATGGCCAGGCGTGGTGGCTCACGCCTGTAATCTCAGCACTTTGGGAGGGAGGCTGAGGTGGGCGGATCACCTGAGGTCAGGAGTTTGAGACCAGCCTGGCCAACATGGTGAAACCGTGTCTCTACTTTATACAAATAAATTAGCTAGGCATGGTAGCAGGCGCCTGTAATCCCAGCTACTTGGGAGGCTGAGGCAGGAGAACTGCTTGAACCCGTTAGGTGGAGGTTGCAGTGAACCGAGATTGCGCCACTGCACTCCAGTCTGCGCAACAAGAGCGAAACTCTATCTCAAACAAAAAACAGTATATAACATTCCCAAATGCCACATACTGAAAACTATCTAAAGGTATACTTACTTTTAGATTTTTAAAAAATATTACATTTGGGATATCAGATGCAGGTATCACAAACGTCTAGGCCCATACACCCTACATCTTACAAGGTCAGAAAACTCAGCTAAGACTAGCAATTAGCTGGATGGGAAATGTTCAAGAGAAATTACCTAATTACCTGGGACATATTTTTTTTTTGAGACAGTCTTGCTCTGTCACCAGGCTGGAGTGCAGTGGCGTGATCTCAGCTCACTGCCACCTCCGCCTCCTGGGTTCAAGTGATTCCCCTACCTCAGGCTCCAGAGTAGCTGGGACGACAGGCGTGCACCACCATACCCAGCTAATTTTTTTTTTTTTTTTGTATTTTAATAGAGACGGGGTTTCACCATGTTGGCCAGGATGGTCTTGATCTCCTGACCTCGTGATCCGCCCACCTCAGCCTCCCAAAGTGCTGGGATTACAAGCATGAGCCACCACGCCTGGTCGGGACATATTGTTAAGGAGAAAAATACCTGATCATCTGCAAATGTAACAAAGGCAAAGGCCCTGAACGGCTTGGGGATGAAGACATCCATCACATCCCCGTACTGAGAGAAGAACTCCCGCAGCTCATCCTCAGTCATGTCCTCTGTACAGCGCCCCACAAACACTTTTCTGCTTCTCAAAGGCTCATCTTGGCTTTGCTGATCAAATCAAAAGGAAGAAAAAAAAAAAACTCAGAAATATGTTATGAACAATGAAAAAAGCATTAAGGTAAGGGATATAACAAAATCATTCTGCCTTGGATAGCAGTGAATCATTAAAAAGTAGACATACCCTTAATTTTTTGCATCAACATTTTTTTTCTTATAAGGCTTCAGTGAAGAGTAACGTTTTAAGTTACAAAAGCACAGTCATGCATCACATCACGATGGACATATGTTCTGAGAAATACATCATGAGCCATTACACAATCTCATCATTGTGGCCAGGTGTGGTGTGAACGCCTGTAATCCCAGCACTTTGAGAGGCCGAGGCGGGTGATCACCTGAGGTCCGGAGTTCAAGACCAGCCTGGTCAACATGGTGAAACCCCAGCTCTACTAATACAAAAATTAGCTGGGTGTGGTGGCAGGTGCCTACAATCCCAGCATCTTGGGAGGCTGAGGCAGGAGAATCACTTGAATCCAGGAGGTGGAGGTTGCAGTGAGCCAAGATTGCACCTTTGCACTCTAGACTGAGCAACAAGAGTAAAACTCCGTCTCAAAAAAAAAAAAAAAGGGGCCAGGCACAGTGGCTCACGCCTGTAATCCCCACACTTTGGGAGGCCAAGGCAGGTGGATCACCTGAGGTCAGGAGTTCAAAATAAGCCTGACCAACATGGAGAAACCCCATCTCTACTAAAAATACAAAGTTAGCCAGGCATAGTGGTGCATACCTGTAATCCCAGAAGCTCGGGAAGCTGAGGCAGGAGAATTGCTGGAACCTGGGAGGCGGAGATTGCAGTGACCCAAGAGCACGCCATTGCACTCCAGCCTGGGCAACAAGAGCAAAACTCCGTCTCAAAAAAAAAAAAAAAAAAAAAAAAAAAAAGGCCAGGTGCAGTGGCTGGGCAGATCATGAGGTCAGAAGATCAAGACCATCCTGGCTAACATGGCGAAACCCCATCTCTACTAAAAATACAAAAAATCAGCCAAGCGTGTTGGCAGGCGCCTGTAGTCCCAGCTACTCAGTAGGCTGAGGCAGGAGAATGGCGTGAACCCAGAAGGTGGAGCTTGCAGTGAGCTGAGATCGCACCACTGTACTCCAGCCTGGACGACAAAGTGAGACTCTGTCTCAAACAAACAAACAAACAAAAGATCGTCATTGTGCAAACATCACATAAACCCAGATAGCACAGCCTACCCCACACCTAGGCTAGATGGTATAGCCTATTGCTCCCAGGCCACAAACTTCCAAGTTACTGTACTCAACACTGTAGGTGACTGACTGTAACATGATGGTAAGTATCTGTGTATCTAAACATAGAAAGGGTACCATAAAAACAGTGTTATAATCTTATGGGACCACTGCTGTACACGTGGTCTGCTGCTGACTGATGAACTTTGCCATGTGACGCATGACTGTATTTGGATTTGAGAAAATCAATAAATACGCAATCTCCTGGCAAAGATGATGATGTTCCAAATAAGCAAATGTTATTTGTTTGCTTGGAAAAAGGCCTTTATAACAAGATTAATGTACGTATTCTGATTGTCTTTATGTTTTAACATATAACTATGTAAGAAACTGTTAACTTGACAAATAATCTTTCCTCTTTTCCATGCATAACAAAAAGGAAGAACAAAATGAACAAAGGTTTCGTTTGGAGAAGTAATAAACTAAATATTTCAAACAAGCATAAAATATTCAGCATGCATTAAGGGCCAAAGACTTCAACCAAACAAAAGGATTTCGTGAACACACCCTACCACTATCTTTTCTAAGTGTGTTTACATTTTATCTTACAATCTTCTAAGGAAGTTTGTCAGCAAAAAATCCCAAAGCACAGACCCAAGTACCTTAGAATTAGGAAGTTTACAGTCACACCATCGTCCATCTATCATATGTCGCTGTGACATTACTTTCACCTGTGTTTCATATTCCGTAAAACGAACAAAGCCAAACCCCTTTGAATGACCAGTCTTAAGATCTTTCTTGACCTAGAAAGGATGATTTAAGTTTACTCTAACAGTACACATACACACTCCATGGCCAAATCATAGTTCCTTAAAAAACAATTTGAATGGTTTTAACTGGATGCAATTGTTTAAAACTTAAACCAAGTTAGTCTTCAGAGTAAAAACAAGGAGGTTAATACTGAATCCATACCGTGTTAACAATAGAGCAAAACTCACTTATACAAGAGATGTTCTTGAGTTCTTAAAAAAAAGAGAGATGGGGCCAGGCGTGGTGGCTCACACCTGTATTCCCAGCGCTTTGGGAGGCTGAGGAGGGTGGATAACTTGAGCACAGGAGTTAAAGACCAGCCTGGGCAACACAGTGAAACCCTATCTCTACAAAAAATACAAAAATTAGCCAGGTATAGTGGCATGCGTCTGTAGTCCCAGCTACTTGGCAGGCTGAAGCACAAGAATAGCTTGAATTCAGGAGGCAGAGGTTGCAGCAAGCCTAAATTGCACCACTGCACTCTAGAGCCTGACTGAGAGAGCCAGACCCTGTCTCCAAAAAGAAAAGAAAAGAAAAAAAGAGAAACTGAGTCTGGATTATGTTGGCTAAGGTGGTCTTGAACTCCTGGCCTCAAGCAATCCTCCCACCTCAGCCTACTAAAATGCTGGGATTACAGGCATGAGCCACCACAACAGGATTTTAACAGAATGTCTTAGAACAAATTCAAAGATAAAAAGCTATTATCACCTAATTCCCTTAAGCCTTCATGTAACAGCAAGATTTTACAATATTGAAGGCAATAATATAGAGTACAAGATATATGTGTAAATGTAACAAATATTGGAAGTATCATCTGTGTAACAGGAAGTACAGTGCCATTAAAATAACAAGAATATGGCCGGGCATGGTGGCTCACACCTGTAATCCCAGCACTGGGAGGCCAAGGCAGGTGGATCACCTGAGGTCAGGAGTTCAAGAACAGCCTGGCCAACTGGTGAAACCCTGTCTCTACTAAAAAATACAAAATTAGCCAGGCGTGATGATGTGCGCCTGTAATCCCAGATACAGGAAGCTAAGACAGGAGAAATCACTTAAACCCAGGAGGTGGAGGTTTGCAGTGAGCCAAGATAGTGCTGCTGCACTCCAGCCTGGACAGCAAAGTGAGACTTGGTCTCCAAAAAAAAAAAAGTAACAAGAATGTGGCTAAGGCATCATGGCTCAGCACACTGGGGTTGAGGCAGGAGGACAGTTTGAGCCCAGGAGTTCAACACCAGAGCATAGGCAACATAGTGAGACCCCATCTCTATGTATACCAATAAATAAATGCTAGATGCTCATTCACTGTAAAGAAAAACTGTTTGATGCAATCGAAGTTTACCTGCACCATAAGAACTTCTCCAAAGGTACTAAAATACTCTTTCAGGTCCTGTTCAGTTGTTTTCCATGGGAGACCCAACACTATTAAATCGGATGTTTTCTGGACTGCTCTTTTCACTTTCACTGCTGATGAAGCATCTGTCTCATCCATTTTTCTTTTGTTATCTAAATAAAATGAGCAGAAACCTTTTAGACTTAGCACTTCTTTAAAAACACTACCTCCTACATCCAGAAATGAGAAGCAAAAAGAAGACTCTAAGAAGAGTAAGACACTGAAAACTTGCAAGAAGTGATTTTTGCTCTAGAGGACAGAATAAAGGCTTAAGTTTAGTGTCTGAGGTGCTTTTCTGGTGCAAATTCAGTGATTTCCAATTTTGTTTTTTTAGTACTTCCAGATTACAATCTCTCTCAAAAGGTTTATCAAAACAAAAATAATTCTACTTCACTTTGACTTTAAGTATCAGCAACTTGTATCTCCTGATGTAGATTTAACTTTTATCTTTCCTAAACATTCAACAATACACAGCTTTTGCAATAAAATGGAAAACCAGGCACAGTGGTGTGTATGCCTGTAAGTTCCAACAACTCAGGAGGCTGAGGAAGGAAGTTCCAACAAACTTCTGCCTTAGAGTCCAGGAGTTTGAGGCTGCAGGGTGTCTATGAACAGCCACTACAATATGCCTAGGCAACAGAGCAAGAGCTCCCATCTCTAATTTCAAAAAAGAAAAAGAAACCAAAAGTTGGGTTACTTAAAAAAACATAACCGGCTGGGCGTGGTGGCTCACACCTGTAATCCCAGCACTTTGGGAGGCTGAGGCGGGTGGATCACAAGGTCAGGAGTTCAAGACCAGCCTGGCTAAGATAGTGAAACTCCATCTATGCTAAAAACACACACAAAAATTAGCCGGGCTCGGTGGCAGGCGCCTGTAATCCCAGTTACTTGGGAGGCTGAGGCAGGAGAATCGCTTGAACCCAAGAGGCAGAGGTTGCAGTGAGCCAAGATTGTGCCACTGCACTCCAGCCTGGGCGAGACTTTGTCTCAAAATAAAATAAAATAAAATAATAGATAGATAAAAATACAAAAATTAGCCAGGTGTGGTGGCAGGCGCCTGTAATCCCAGCTACTCAGGAAGCTGAGGCAGAGAACTGCTTGAACCCCAGAGGTGGAGGTTGCAGTGAGCCAAGATCGCGCCACTGCACTCCAGCCTGGGTGACGGAGTGAGACTCCATCTCAAAAAACAAACAACAACAAAAAACTCCTACATAACCTTAACCTTAGGTTATTTAGAAGAGAAAGGGAGATAATTTTTTTTTTGAGATGGATTCTCATTCTGTCACCCAGGCTGGAGTGCAGTAGTGTAATCTCCCCTCGCTGCAACCTCTGCCTCCTGGGTTCAAGTGATTAAGCGATTCTCCTGCCTCAGTCTCCTGAGTAGCTGGGATTACAGGTGTGAGCCACTGCGTCCGGCCTGGAGAGATACATTAAATGACATTTTTTTCTTTTTTTTGAGACGATGTCTCGCTCTGCTGCCCAGGCTGGAGAGCAGTGGCACCATCTCAGCTTACTGCAACCTCCACCTCCTGGGTTCAAGCAATTCTCCTGCCTCAGCCTCCCCAGTAACTAAGACTACAGATGCAAACCACTGCGCCTAAGTTTTGTATTTTTAGTAGAGACGGGGTTTCACCACGTTGGCCAGGCTGGTCTTGAACTTCGGACCTCAGGTGATCTGCTCACCTCAGCCTCCCAAAGTGCTGGAATTACAGGTGTGAGCCACTGTACCCAGCCTGATATTTTAAATTTGGGTAAATATTAATCTATACCCAATGGCTGAAGAAACAGCATACTAAAAACCCCCAGTTTACATTATTAATCATTATTATTATTATTTCATTATATTTTTTTTGAGACAAAGTCTTGCTCTTTCACCCAGGCTGGAGTGCAGTGGCGCAATCTCAGCTCACTGTAATCTCTGCCTCCCAGGTTTAAGTGATTCTCCTGCCTCAGCCTCCAGAGTAGCTGGGACTACAAGGCGCCCGCCACCACACCCAGCTAATTTTTGTTTTCGTTTTTTTCTTTTTGTTTTGAGACGGAGTTTCGCTCTTGTTGCTCAGGCTGGAGTGCAACAGCATAATCTATTCACTGCAACCTCCGCCTCCCGGTTCAAGCGATTCTTCTCCTGCCTCAGCCTCCGGAGTAGCTAGGATTACAGGCACCCACCACATCCAGCTAACTTTTTGTGTCTTTAATAAAGATGGGGTTTCATCATGTTGGCCAGGCTGGTCTCAAACTCCTGACCTCAGGTGATCCACCAGCCTCGGCCTCCCAAGTGCTGGGATTACAAGCATGAGCCACCGTGCCTGGCCCTAAAGTTTTTCTACACATGTAAAAGAGTGTCTTGCATACTGACCAAATTTGATAAGACTTTGTTGCAATACCAAGTTATAATAAAAGGAACACACAGATTGACTATTAACAGTACACTACTTCAAAATGCGAAAATTAGCTATTTCTTTGGCACACTTCTTAAACTTCATGCTTCCTTTTCTTAGATTTAGAACATCAGTGATAAAAGGCAGCGAGAAGGATAAGACCAGAACCTCAAAATTGTGATTGGAACTACACTAATTCAAGATTTGGCTACTGCAACTATTTGTTCATTTAAGGGAAGAAATGAAGTCACATGTGCTGAATGAATGATGTAAGACTAAAAGGACAATGATCAAATCCAAATACTCAAGCACTTCAGAAGAATCTATTTACAACACTGATAGAAGCGCAAAACATTATTAGTAATTCCTTAAATTTGGCATCAACTTGGAAAGCTTATTCAGATATTTTTAAAATGCATCGCTCTCTCTTTTAAAATGATCTATAATCCGCAGTTTCCATAAATTTAGACTCATGTTAATAGTGAAGTTCAAGGAAATACTGAGGTTACAGGAGACATTCTGCCAGGAAACAAGGCTAAGATCCATGGATGAGACACACACCCGACCACACTTCAGCATGATTACAAAAACAAATAGTAACAAACCTTTCGGATAGTTGACAACATACACCAGATTTCCCCAGCCAGCATCGGGGGCATGCAGAATTCCTTCTACCAGTCGGACACCTCTCATACATTGAGACACTGGATTCCTGTAGCGAAGCCCACACGCCCCTGGAAACTGGGCTGTGACCGTGGACAGCAGCACCGTCCCATCGTCTTCCGATGGTATTTCAATGGGCTCATCGTTCTCATCTTCGGTTACCCGAATATATTCAGACATCTTTTACTTTTCTTAAAGGGAAAAGAGATATGAATGAACAACATTCACGTCACAGTAACTGTTTCCTCATAACGATAATACCCAAACTATGTTACTGTTCTGACTTCCAGAAAAATTCTTGTCTGGATTCGTACATGCATTGGTTATCTCTGAAAAATGACGAGGTGAAGGTAAGGGTAGTGATTTCCTGTCAAAATCTGATGCCTCGCCAGTTCATTCATTCAAAAAACTTTCCCTGAAGGCTTATAGATGCGTCAGGTACTGAAACTGAGTCCAACGTGGCTTGCTGGTTACAAGCTGGGGTATGCAAGGGAACAATAAACAGTAGCTATTTTATGACCATCGTGGAAGTCGTTAAGTAATCCTGAAAGTAGGGGAAGAGCCTAACTGGCTGAGGCATGGGCGTGATGGCTCCAAGTCGATCTTCCTAAGCAAGCGATCCATCAGCTGAACCTGAAGACTGAATATGGGCAGTGAATCAGGTGTAAAGAACAGGAGAAAAGTTCTTCTCTGTTCCTCATTTTGGAGCTTCCGGGAGCTCCATGAGCCCCAGCCGCAAGGCCCGCGGCGACAGGTCCTGGCGGAGCCGGCCGCCGCCTCCCAGAAGCCCGCGCGTGCCAGCCGAGGGAGGAGTTTCTCTGCGCGGCCCGGGGTGGGGCGCAGGAGCACCAGGCCCGAGCTGGCAGCGTCCCTCGGAGTACAGAGTACCGAAGGCTCCGGCACTGTCCGGGTCCGGGGCCAACCTCCGCCTCAGCCTACGCGGCACCACGGACCCGGCTCCCCGTTTCTGCACCAGCGGCCTCCCTGTGCCCGGACCTGACGACGCTCCCGCGCGAGCCAGCTCGGGCAGAACTAGGCCCGGTCTCACGACTCACATCCCGGGGCAGAGGCCGAAGCCGCTGCGTCCGCCTCGGGCCGCCCCAATGCGGGAGCCGAAGCACCTACGGCATCCTCAATGAGAAGGTTCCGCGACTCACCCACTAGGCCGCTGCTGGGAAGCCCGACAGGGACACCGAGGCAGCGACGGACCCAAGCGCAGCCCAGCGACCGCTTCGCTCCCACAAAATGGCGCTAGGGCCGCCTCCTTCCCCCCGCCCACCGGCGTCCTCTCCCACCGGTTGCCCGTCCAGAGGTGGAAGGCGCCGAGGAGAGCCACGATGACCCTCTCCCCAGGGACTCGGGCTGCCTCTTGGAAATTCGAGCCTACAGAGAAGCTCTGAAAGCTAAAATAAAACCAGGACCTAGGCCTGAAAAGCTGAAGATTGCAAAAAGTGTGGCTGTATAGGCGCTGACCTCCCCCCATGTAACGTAGCAGATGGTTTCGGCCGACCAACCGCCGGCCCAGGTCTCGGTCAGAGCTCGCGCACTTTCAAAGAGCGCGAGAGTAGCGCGAAGTCTCGGCCAGCAAGAGCGGAGCGGGGCGTGGAGGGGGCGGGGCTCGGGATTCTGGGCCCAGTCCACTTCGGAGGCGGGGGAAAGCTTGGATCTCTTTTTTGAAAGGCGGACAGGTGCGTCCTCTCCTCCCTCCGCCAGCCCACCTCCAAACCTGGAAACAATAACTTAATTCTAAATAACAGCAGTAATAGCGCTACTTTGTACCAGGTACTTTCTGAGTATTCGCATATTTAATAATAGCCCATACAGTTTGGTGAAGCAGGAACTATTGATACTCATTCAGCGGGTGAGGAAACTGAGGCACAGAGAGATCAAGTATCTTGCTTAAAGTCACTCAAGGATTAGCCGGGCGGTAGTGGCGCTCGCCTGTAATCCCAGCTACTCGGGAGGCTGAGGCAGGAGAAGTGCTTGAACCCGGTAGGCAGAGGTAGAGGGGAGCCGAGTTCGTGCCACTTCACTCCAGTCTGGGCGACAAGGTGAGACCCTGTCCTCCCCCCCCGCCAAAAAAAAGTCACCCAAGGAATAAATGGTAGACCTGGAATTTGAATCTCGAGGCACAAAATGCTAACTTGTTCTGGCTCCAGCCCTCTAATAATAATAATAATACAGTACTTCATCTATTTTAAGGCACACTTTTTGTTTCTTTTTTTTTTTTTTGAAACGGAGTATCGCTCTTGTCCCCCAGGCTGGAGTGCAGTAGCGCAATGTGCAGCTCACTGCCACTTCCACCTCCAGGTTCAAGGGATAGCTGGGATTATAGGCATGCGAAGACACCATGCCCGGCTAATTTTTGTTATTTTTAGTAGAGACAGTGTTTGGCCATGTTGGCCAGGCTGATCTCGAACTCATGGCCTCAAGTGATCTGCCCGCCTCGCCCTCCCAAAATGCTGGGATTACAGGCGCGAGCCACTTTTCTTTTCTATCTTTTCTTTCCTTTCTTTCCTTTCTTCCCTCCTTCCCTTCCCTCCCCTCCTTTTCTTTTCTTTTCCTTTCCTTTCCTTTCCTTTTCCTTTCCTTTCCTTTTCCTTTCCTCCCCCTCCCCTCCCCTCCACTCCCCCTCCCCTCCCCCTCCTCCCCCTCCCCTCCCTCCCCCCTCCCCCTCCCCCTCCCCCTCCCCCTCCTTCCCCTCCCCCTCCCTTCCCCTCCCCCTCCCCCTCCCCTTCCCCTCCCCTCCCCCTCCCCCTCCCCTGTTTCTTTTTTTTTTCAGACTCCTTCTGTTGCCCAAGCTGGAGTGCAGTGGCACAATCTCAGTTCACTGCAACCTCCGCCTCCCAGTTCAAGTGATTCTCCTGCCTCAGCCTCCTGAGTAGCTGGGACTACAGGCGTGTACCACCATGCCTGGCTAATTGTGTATTTTTAACCCCTGTTGGCCAGGCTGGTCTTAAACTCCTGACTGCGGGTGATCTGCTTACCTCAGCCTCCCAAAGTGCCACACGTGCCCGGGAATTTGTTTCACATTTCTAAAGTCAGTGTGATTTCAGTTCCAGTTCCAGTTGATGATGATGTGTCATAATTTAATTGACAACTATTTATGTTTCTTTGTATATACATGTATCACATTCAATGAATTACAGTTACAAATGTTTACACAAAGTACTTTGTTATTTAAGATGGGGTCTTACTCTGTCACCCAGGCTAGAGTGCAGTGCAGTGACCTCGGCTCACTGTAACCTCCAACTCCAGGCTGGAGTGCAGTGGCACAATCTCAGGTCACTGCAACCTCCGCCTCCCCAGTTCAAGGTATTCTCCTGCCTCAGCCTCCTGAGTAGCTGGGACTACAGGCGTGTACCACCATACCTGGCTAATTATTGTATTTTTAACCCCTGTTGGCCAGGCTGGTCTTAAACTCCTGACTGCAGGTGATCTGCCCACCTCAGCCTCCCAAAGTGCCACCGTGCCCGAAATTTGTTTCACATTTCTAAAGTCAGTATGTGATTTCAGTTCCAGTTCCAGTTGATGATGATGTGTCATAATTTAATTGACAACTATTTATGTTTCTTTGTATATACATGTATCACATTCAATGAATTACAGTTACAAATGTTTACACAAAGTACTTTGTTTATTTATTTAAGATGGGGTCTTACTCTGTCACCCAGGCTAGAGTGCAGTGCAGTGACCTCGGCTCACTGTAACCTCCAACTCCAGGGCTCAAACGATCCTCTCACCTTAGCCTGCTGAGTAGCTTGGACCACAGGTGCACACCACCACACTCAGCCAATTTTTTGTAATTTTTCAGAGACAGGGTCTTGACATGTTGCCCAGGCTGGCCTCCAACTCCTGAGCTCCAGCGATCCACCTGCCTCAGCCTCCCAAAGTGCCGGGATTACAGGCGTGAGCCACCATACCTGTCAGAGAAGTTGGTTTTATCACTCCCATTTTACAGATCAGAAACCTGAGGCTCAGACACCATATGACAGGCCTGAGGTCATACAGTTGCTCAAGGATGTCACCTAGCCCATAAATTGCTGTCCCAGGTTGGTCAGAACCTAAACCTCTGCACTATGTCCACCACACTGGCCACTTTCTGCAACAAGACTGAGACCGAGGTATTTATTGCGGGTAGTGTTGTGTAGTCCTGGACACTGGCTGCAGGTGGGCAGAACTGGGTGTGCAGGATCTCCTAGGGATAGATCACACAGGAACACAACCCCAAAGGCTGGCCCTTCTCCCTAGAAGTTTTCAGGCGAGTTGGGAGGAGAAGCAAACACTATCTGGAAGAATATAAGTAACTCAATCAGGAAGAGAATTATAGGGCCAGAGGGAGGCTGGACCATAGATCCTCCTGCTCCTGTCTCAGTTATCTCTGGGATTCAGCTTTACAGCACTGATTGTCAAAAGTTGTTTGAAATGCAGCTTTTTTTTTTTTTTTCAAGACAGAGTCTTGCTCTGTCGCCCAGGCGGAATGCAGTGGTACAATCTCCGCTCACTGCAACCTCTGCCTCCCGGGTTCAAGCTATTTTCCTGCCTCAGCCTCCCAAGTAGCTGGGACTACAGGTGTGTGCCACCACACCTGGCTAATTTTTCGTAGAGATGAGGTTTCACCATGTTGGCCAGGCTGGTCTCGAACTCCTGACCTCAAGCGATCCTCCCACCTCAGCCTCCCAAACTGCTGGGATTACAGGAGTGAGCCACTGTGCCTGGCCCAGACCCCGGTTTTCAACTGGGTCACTTGGGGACTTACCTTCTCCCCTTCCGTCACCTCCCTTGAATTCTCCCAGCTCATCAGCTCCATGAGGTGAACAGGACGAAGCTCTACAGCATTCCTGGAAACTGAAAGAAGGCTGGGGGGCACGGTGGCTCACGCCTGTAATCCCAGCACTTTGGGAGGCTGAGGTGGGTGGATCACCTGAGGTCAGGAGTTCAAGGCCAACATGATGAAACCCCATCTCTACTAAAAATATGAAAAATTAGCAGGGCGTTGTGGCAGACACCTGTAATCCCAGCTACTCGGGAGGCTGAGGCAGGAGAATTGCTTGAACCCGGGAGGCGGAGGTTGCAGTGAGCCAAGATCACACCATTGCACTCCAGCCTGGGCAACAAGAATGAAACTCTGTCTCAAAAAAAAAAAAAAAAAAAAAAAAAAA